CCTTGTACCAGCCGTTACAGCTTCTACAATCTGCCAAACTCCTACATTTTCCAGCTTTTTGTGTAAGAAAAGCAACAGTAGAAGCAATTTGTATTCAGCTGATCCTACATGATTTGCCAAGTTTTATCTTATCATATGCCATGTAAAAGTGCTAAATATAGAGATAATCATATGATAATAATAGTTTAAAAACAATAAGAGTTGGTGGCTAACTTGTATTGTGAGAAGTATATAAGTGGAATGAATTTGTTCTGCAAATATTATTAAATTGGTAATATTAAATTGGCTGTGTTGGATTAGATTCCAAGTTAATCTATTTCATGTTTACAGGCAAAATGCATTCCAAGTAGTTGCTGTGGATGGCATTTGCAGTGGAATAATTCAGTGCCTGTCTGCTGAAGACTGTATCGACTGGCTACAAGCAATAGCGATTAATATCTCCAATCTCACAAAGCACAATGCAAGTATATTTCTTAGAGGTTTATCATATTTTCCACATATATTTGATCCCAATTCTCATAAGAGCTTTGCAGGCCAAGTGCCAAATTTTGTGTGCATCAACTCTGCTTAAAGCTTCCCCAGAGAAGTCTACTCAAGTCTATTACCAACTCAAATTCTATGAAAATTTATTGAAAAAATTATCTTCATAATCTATTTTATGATTATTAGTATCACTTTCTTTTTCACAATGCCAAACTAGAGCTGAAAATAAAACTAGATCAAATTTTGCTTCTTTATTATGTAGTCATAGGAGACTGTCTCTGCTAGTAAAGTACAACATTACATGAGATAGATTCCTAGATTTATTTCCTTTACATTGTAAGTTCAGAATAATGCAATAAATTTAAAAAACAGATGAAAAAGTTCATGCTGTATAAACTTTTTACGTCAATACTATGGAATCGTCAGTTAAAATCAAATGTTTGCATTTGATCCATTAGATCCGATACATTATAATGTAAATGGGTAATTGGTAACTATTGGTCAAGCTTACCTTGTTTTCTATTTCTGATCTCTGCATTGTCATCTCTATTTATTTTCTTTGATCCTTTTCAAGCCCTTCACTTCTCTAATCCTCCACCTCTTTAGGTCTTGTTTAGTATTCACAAACCAGAAATTTAGAGTCTAAAGTAATTGAGTTTCAAACATTTATTTTTCTCAGTCTTTCTTGTTATAATCTTTTAAAAATGCAGCCTACTAACTCTATAAAGGGAAGTATTATTTTCTATATTTTACTTAATTTATTATCAAATGTTCTCTATCTGAAAGCATTTAAAATTAAGTTTAGCTGTAATGGAATCCATTGAGCTATTGTATATTTCATGGAAACATATATCCTCTTACAGAGCACTTTATTAATACTGAAAATTTGATGTGTTGTAGAAACATGACAAACATATTATCTGTCTACCATGTGCAAAGTTTTATGCTATGCAAACCAATTACATTATTACTTATTCATCCATATAATGCTGTCTCTATATATGACTATATATTTCTCTATAACCTTGACAAATGGGAACAATTCTAACCTTTATGCTTATGCTAAATAATTTTATGTTATTAATTTTAACTTGTGTTCCAGGCTATTTTTGATATAATGATAACTTTCTCAGTTGTAGCTAGCATTTTAAGCCAAATTACAATTGCCTCTCATTAACTCTGTAATTATAACTGTCAGCTGAAATAATGTTTATCACATTGGTCCTAGAGGGTTTATTTTTGCAAGAACATAACTTATTTAGTAAGCTAACATAAATTCAGTGTAAGTTCCCAGTATAGTCTCACTGGTTAAAAAAATGGGAAGAGAGAAGGGAGAATTCACTTTTATACCATTGCACTAAGCATAGAAGTTTAACTGTTAAAAAACAAGTAATGATCATATTCCTTACAATAAACCAGTAAAGATAGGATACAATAAATCCTACCTGTAGGAAAAATTAGGCAATTGGATTAGGTGATAGATGGTTCTTCTGAATTCCCCCTAACTTTTCTTCTCTGTTGGAGATTCATACCATAACATCTGTCCTGTGCATCCTACATTAACTTATTTTCTCAAATGTAATGGATAACACTATCCCAATTGTATCCTTGGGATTAAAGTATATGAAATGGGGAATTTCAATATCTTATTCTTTCCTGGGTAGCAATTTCTCTTTGGTCAGCCTTGGTGCAGGATTACCAGATTTGCGCTACAAAAATAGTTCACCCTCACTAAAGGCCTTGGAGAAAAGCTTGGTATTCAAGCTCTTTTGAAGCATGAGTGGAGTAAAGGCTGTCTGGATCTTGAGAAGAATTTCATGCCGGAGACCAGGTGCTGCTACAGAGAAAGTGCACTTCAATCTTAAGGGTTCCTATAGATGGCATTGTTTAATCAAGGGAATTCAGAGTACATTAACCTGCCCAATTGAATTGGCCAGGGAGATATTACCAGAGACAAGTAGTCCCTCAAGTAACCAGGCCCAATTAATTAGCCTTAGAAGCAACTTAGCACCTATTGTAGCTTGTGAAACATAGGTGTTACTTGGACATACTGAGGCATGCACCTCACTGCCCATGCTGCTACATACCAGACAAGTTGAAGCTTCTGGGTGGTTTCTGATAAGTGACTTTCTGAAAGGCTACCCAATCAAGGAAAGAGTGCAATTTGTACATCAGATAAAGCTATGCAAACTGTCATTGAGCAGGAACTATGAGCCCAGGAAGACACTAGAGACTGCATAGCACTCTTGAATAGAGAAGTGCAACCCAACTAAAGTCAGAGATGGATCATACCCAGATCTGGAGAGATGAAACACCTGCAGCCACAACAATGATTGTGGATTACTACAATGAAGAAAATGTAGCATATAAACAGATTAAAACAATCATTAATTTTAAAAAGCTTAATTAATTTTGGTGAATTAAGAGAAATTGATCTCTAATCTACTTATCAATTTAAACATTAGATGGCAATAGAAGTAGAGATCTAATGGAATAATGGATTATATTTAAAGAGAAAAGCAATTACATTTAGCCACACAATTATAGCGAAAATGCTTAACAACAATTTGGATATGATTAGATATATTTGGTATTCATCTAACTTTCATAAGGTAGTGTTAGCACTGTTCAAGTTAACCATTTTTATATTTTTTGTTGGTATAAGTTAACTCGGTTTAGGTCACTGATTGTGGTTTCACTTGATATGCAGTTTAGAAGTATGAGCTATATTTGAATCTCATCCTTATTTGCTGTTGGCAATAATGCCATTTTTCAGTATCTCAGAAGTAATAAACTCACTATAAATTTATGGATTCTTGTTCCATTGAAAATTTCAGAATAAATACATCAAGCTTTTGTAGGATTGAATAGTCTCAGCAGGTATGTTGCTCAAAAGCCATGTCAACATAACGGTCTGTGGTAAAGTTTATAAATTACCACTTAGCTTGACTCAGTGAATATTTTAGCTTGCTGATGTACAAAGTCATGGTGAGATGATGCCAGTTGATGCTGCTTTATTTCATAGCATTTTGATTTGTAACAATGGCCAAAAAATAATAGGATAAGAAAAGTTTGTCAAATATTGTTCAGCTGCATGACTCCAGAAGTTTCTGTTATTTTTAAGAGATAAGCAACACAAAATCATAGTGGTCTTTCATCTAGACTGAATGGTAAATAATCTGAACAGCTGAATTTGAAGGAAGTGTAGAGTAGAGACAAATTATTATTATTATTATTATTATTATTATTATTATTATTATTATTATTATTATTATTATTATTATTAATGTAGATACTACTGACATAGTAGGTATTATTATAACTAGACATAGCAAGTATGTTGAGTATGATGTATGTGGAAATTGTTTATCTCCAATCTAGATTCGATTAGTCTTGCAGCCCAGTAATGTATTCATATATATTATGAAATGCCTTAAAATATAAACCTAAAATGAGTGCTTTAAAAAATACAAACCTAAAACACCCTTAAGTTTGATCAATTATTAATATGGGTGAAAGATTAAATGCTTATTTTAAAATGAAAGGGAAAGTTATTGTAAAATATTAAATTTAATCAGATATATAGATATATGTATATGCAGTCTAATAGATTTGTCTTAATTATTATTTCTCTTTGTGAAGAACAAACATTTTAGTGAAGCTTTTAATTAGCCTCACAATTATTGCAATATAATCAATATCATCTGATATTAAAATGTAGGCATTTGTATGTGTCCCTCCAATACAACAACAACAACAACAACAACAACAACAACAACAACAACAACAATAATAATAATAATAATAATAATAATAATAATAATAATAATAATAAAGTTGGAAGGGACCTTGGAGGTCATCAAGTCCAACCCCTGCTCAGGCAGGTAACCCTATACCATTTCGGACAAATGGCTGTCCAGTCTCTTCTTAAAAACTTCCAGTGTTGGAGCATTCATCGCTTCTGGAGGCAGGTTGTTCCATTGGTTAATTGTTCTAACTGTCAGGAAGTTTCTCCTTAGTTCTAGGTTGCTTCTCTCCTTGATTAGTTTCCATCCGTTGCTTCTTGTCCTGCCTTCAGGCGCCTTGGAGAATAGCTTGACTCCCTCTTCTCTGTGGCAGCCCCTGAGATATTGGAACACTGCTATCATGTCCCCCCTCATCCTTCTCTTCATTAAACTAGACATACCCAATTCCATCAACCTTTCCTTATATGTTTTAACCTCCAGTCCCCTAATCATCTTTGTTGCTCTTCTCTGTACTCTTTCTAGAGCCTCAACATCTTTTTTACATCGTAGTGACCAAAACTGGATGCAGTATTCCAAGTGTGGCCTTACCAAGGCATTGTAAAGTGGTATTAACACTTCGCGTGATCTTGATTCTATCCCTCTGTTAATGCAGCCTAGCACTGTGTTGGCTTTTTTGTCAGCTGCAGCACACTGCTGGCTCATATTTAAATGATTGTCCATTAGGACTTCGAGATCCCTCTCACAGTTACTACTATTGAGCAAGGTACCCCCTATACTATACCTATACATTTGGTTTTTCTTGCCTAAATGTAGAACCTAATTTTTTCACCATTGAATTTCACTAGTCTAAGGATTTTCAGTTTGAAACAATTTTGGTACAAAATGTAGTTGCAAGTTGTGGTGCTGAATGAAGCAGATAGATGTGCCCCACTGTCCTAGGCTTGCCATTTTAAATTAATTTCTACCTTCCTTTGATATCTCACCTCTTGTCAATGCCATGCTCTGAGGAAAGGATTCTTCTTCACAGCAAGATCTCCGACACTATATTTATCAATGTACCTGGAAGAACTACACAGAGAAGTGAGATTGAAAAAGGAAAGAAAAAAGGAGGTATCTGAGGAAAGGCAATATTTTCCCATTAAGGGAGGTCAAACAAACCACAGAGAGAATAGACTCTGTTGTGAATGTGACAAGGGAGGAAACTTAGCTAAAGATTGTCAAAGTTGCCTGTGCAAATAGAGGAATGTTAGAGGGAAGCAGAAAATAATGTTGCCTTTCTGAAAGTGTGGAGGCATGTAAGGGAACGAAGCTAGGGTTGTTGTTTGCAGTTGAGAAAAGCAGCTGCAGCCAGGAAGAAATGCTTCCCACTCCCTCCTCCCCAAGGATATTTTCAGCTCATCGCTTCCCTCAAAGGACAGTAAAAGTTTACAATCTCAGAAACTTGAGAGAAGATGAGCTCAGTCAGTCAGTCAGTCAGTCATTCCCTCCCCCACCTCATAGTTCAGTCACAAGCATGCATGGGGGTATTGCAGGTGTCTGGCTAATGGAGCCATACCAGCATTTTTGGGAACATGCTGATGTCCATTGGCAGTCTCAACCCAACCAGGCCCTTAGCCTACAAAAGTGTGAGTATGTAGAAGAGAAAAGGAGGAACAAAACAAGTAGATGAGAAATCGGGAAGCAATGTCTGGAATGCACAACTACTGTGTTTCCCCAAAATTAAGACCTGGCCTTATATATTTTTTTCCTCCAAAAGAGGCACTAAGTCTTACCTTAGGACCACCAGCCAGGCCTCCCGCACCCTGACACCTGTCACGCTGCTGCTTGACTTCTTCTGTGCGGCTTGCCGCCACTTGCGGCTGGACACCATGTGGCACATTGCGCCATTTCCGTTCCTCCTGGCAGGATGCCACATGGTGCTTTGCGCCATTTCTGCTGCTCGCAGTAGGACGCCAGGTGGCTCTTCGGGCCGTTTCTGCTGCTCATGGCAAGAAACCGCACAGCACTTTGGACCGTTTCTGCTGCTTACGNCTGCTTTGCAGCATCCTGCCACAAGCAGCAGAAACGGCCCGAAGAGCCACGTGGCATCCTGCTGCGAGCAGAGGAAACGGCCCAAAGTGCTGTGCAACCTCCTGCCGGGAGCAGTGGCATTGGCATGATGAATCATACGGCTTGACAAGTATCAGGGCGTGGGAGGCCTGGCTGCGGCGTTCCTACCTGTAAGCTAAGCGGGTGCGGGATGCATGGGGCAGCTTCACCCTCTACCTCTGCCCTAGTTTGATTTTTAGGTGTGGGCCTCACCCCAAAACTAGGGCTTATTTTTGGAATAAGGCTTATATTAGGCCCACCACCAAAAATCAAGCTAGGGCTTACTTTTTGGTTGGGTGTTACTTTCGGGGAAACACGGTATCATAGAAAGCAAGAAGGGTATCAGTCAAATGCCAGGACCACAAGCTATGGACTAAGTATTTATGTAGCTATATCAACTTGCAAGGGTTAGGATTAGGAAGATTGAGTTATCCCAGAACAACAACCTAATGCTGGGAAAGATGTGTGCCACAATAAAACATTGAGTACAGTTACCAGCTACAGTGTGATATGTCTAGTCTTTGGAAAACAAAGAATTCTCACAATGATGCACTAGTGGATCTTTTAAATATTTAATTCAATTCAAGTAGGTATGAGTAAAAATACATGAAATTCTGAGAAATTAATAGAACATACTTTGAGTAAAGTTTGGACCTGGTACACTAAACTTGTACTTTATCAACACAACAAGGAGTGTAGATTGTTGTAACATTGTGAAAGACACCATTATGGTTGACAAAGGACCAACATTTAATATAATGGTTTCCATTTCTATTTCCATCCAATAGGACAGTGTTTTATATATATAGCAATATCATTTAGCCTTATACACCACTCTGTAATGCTTTGCAGCACCTCTGGGCTGTTTACACTGCCAGCATATTGCCCCCAACAATCTGCCTTCAGAAAAATGGAAGCCTTGAGCTGGTCAGGATTGAACTCCTGGCTATGAGCAGAGTTAGCCTGCAATACTGATTCTAACCACTGCACCATATACAGTGTGTGTGTGTGTGTGTGTATACTTATACATACACAAACACAAATATATATATGCATGCATGCACACACACATTGGAATGGGACAAGTCACCATGGCCAACTGCAGCCAACTCACCATAGCCAACTTGCCAGGGCCAGCTTTGCACAGGCAACTCACAACACCCAACTCATCACAAGACAACTTGCTGTGGGACAACTTGCTGCGGGGCAATTTAATAATTCAATTTAACTACTTAAAATTAATTAAAAAATATTTTCAATTTTGTCATTCACATGTCATTATATCCCTGTTTTTGCATCCCTTCTTTAATGATTCTGTTCCACCATTTCTTTGATATTAGTGTAACTCTTGTCCTGCGGCGAGTTGTCCTATGGTGAGTTGGCCGTGGCAAGTTGGCTGTGGTGAGTTTTCCTGCAGTGAGTTGGCCGTGGCAAGCTGGCCATGGCGAATTGTCATAAACCCCACACATATACCAATAATAATAATAATAATAATAATAATAATAATAATAATAATAATAATAATAATAATAATAATAAAGTTGGAAGGGATCTTGGAGGTCATCGAGTCCAACCCCCTGCCCAGGCAGGAACCCTACACCATTTCAGACAAACGGCTGTCCAGTCTCTTCTTAAAAACTTCCAGTGTTGGAGCATTCACCACTTCTGGAGGC